ACAATAGCTTTGTAAACCCCTGTTCATCCTCCTAATACTGGCAGTTCTGCTTTAACACAAATCTGCTGGGTCACACTTGCATGGGTCAATACTTTTTTCTATTACACATGTATTTTAATATTTTTTCCTTGTTATAACAAGCTGTCCTAGTCTCTACTTTCCACTTCGACCCATATTTTCTATTATGTCAGCTGTCAGACCTTTCGGAACTGGCTGGAGCCATCAAGATCAACACCCCGGCTTGCAGCTGGGAAGGAGTTTTCTTGATGATCACGTTGAGGAGGAGGTTGGGTCTTACCTCTGGTTCTGCAACATGAATCTGAGGACCAGCCAAGAATGGGTATCCAGGCACTGGTGACCATGCAGCCTCTCTGCACTTGCCTATAGCAAATGCAGTATCTTGAAGAACAAGATGCTTTCATGTAATTAAGACACTTTTCTCTCTCTCCATGCTGAGCTCTATCCTGTGCTGGGTAAAAGTTAATGGCCTATACTACATTAGAGGCAAGACAGAATTATCTAGTGCCCTCTTATACTTTATCCCCTAGGAAGCATCACCGTAAAGCATTTTCCATACTTTATAGTACAGACAGACTACTCTAGAATGCAAAGGACAGATACAGTAATGCAGTTGCACAGTGAAAATACAAGGAGTGTGTCCTCTGCCTTTGATAGTCTCCTATAATATATTTTGCCTATTACAGTGTATTTTCTAAATAAACTACTGGCAGCAACTTGTGTTACTGCATCACTGAAATGTTCTCTTGATAGGGAATTTGTTCCTCAAGACATCAAAAAAAATTCCATGCAATTCCATTTTGCTTGTCATGCTCATATTATATATATATATATATTTTTTTTTCTTGTAGCATCTTCATTCTTCAGTGGGAAGAGGGTCAAAATATAAAGGCATGGTTATACTTTTTTTTTCCCCCCTGTCATGCCACCAATTTCCCTTTTCACCTCAAATTAGCTGTCTGCAGTGTCCAGAAGGAACAGCATAAGCTTCTACAGTTTGAAGGACAGCACTAATCATCACAATGTCACTATTTAAGAATGCTGGCAAGATACACTTCTGCATACCACAATCATGAAGCTAATCTATCATTCAGTAGCATTAGTCCCAGCTTCTCATGAGTTTCTCTCAAACTACTGTTTTCCTGCTTTCTTCACTCTTTATTGCACCTTATCTTAAGATCATAAATCCTTCAGGCCAGAAACTGCTCTTTTTATTTGAGCCTTTCCAGTCCCTATCAAATTGGACCTTTAGCTTCATTAGAGCTCATTCGAACTAAGGGAAACATGCAAAGAACTAAACATGCTCCTCCCATCTTTTTCTTCCACTGGATACCCACCTTTCCCCTGTACATAAATGAAGCCCTCTTTGCAAAAGGATGTCATTAAACCATCTTTGAGAAGTCATACCAATTATAAGAGGTCTCCAATAATTTGGGGAAAAAAAAACATATAATCTTCTCAAAACGAAGAGGACGTGGGGAATGAAAGACTAGTCAGCCTTACCTCAGTACCTCTTGATCATGGATCAAGTTCTCCTGGAAAGCATTACCACAAATATGAAGGACAAGAAGGTGATTGGGAACAGCCAGCACAGAGTTATCAACAGAAAATCATACCTGTGAACCTGCCTGCCTTGTACAATGAGATGACAGGCTCTGTAGATGAATGGACGGCAGTGGGGGTGGCGTTTACCTTGATTTCAGAACAGTTTCTGACAGTCTCTCACAGCAGCCTTGTAGTCAAATTGGGAAGTTATGGACTGGATGAATCAAGAGTTTGAAATTTAGTTGGTGGTCAGTTTTGAGAGGCTTGCCTCAGAGGTCAATACTGGATCAATACTATTTAATGTCTACATTAATGACCTGGATGAATTTATAACCTTGTTGAGAGTATACTCTCAACAAGGTTATAAGTGACGGCACATTGCAGAGAGCAGCTGATACGGTGGAGTGCAGCAGAACCATTTGGAGGGCACCTTGACAGATTGGAAGAATGAACAGACAGAAACCTCATGAAGTTCAGCAAAGACAGATGCAGGTTCTTGCACCTGGAACAGACTAATCCTGTAGGCTGAAAAGTAAGCCAATAATAAACAAACCTGAAAAAGTTTTTTTTTAAAAAAAGCAGCGTAAGATTGAACTGAGCATTGCTTTGCAGCAATAACTTCATACTGAGCTACTTTAGTAAAAAAATAGCATGTAAGTCAAGGGAAACTATTAATTTCTGCTATTCAATAATCTTGAGATATGTGGATTATTGTACTGAATTATATCTCCCCTCTCCCTCCAATGCAAGAACAGTTGCAAGGTGGAATGAATTTGCTCCCGCCAATGGTAGTTGTCTCTGCTTTTGGTGGTTACACTGAATTTCCTCTTTTCTCCATGTTACCACTTTAAGTAAAGACCAATTGAAAGCATTTATCCACTAAAGAGTCTGTTTTCCACCAAAAAGTTGCTGCTAGGAATTCCAGCTGGCATGCAGTTAATTTTCTATGATGATGATTCATAGTGGTGAATATACATGCAAAAGGAAAAAAAAAAAAATAGAGACCTACATTATTCCCAAATGGAGGTCACACTGCTGGTAAAAGGAAAAAAAAGCTCTGGTACAATCAATTCCATACTAGTGGTTCTCATAAAGGAACTTAACTTCAGTTCTCAGATTTAGGTCTTCCCCTGCAGCCCTGATAAGTAGTATTTATCAGGAAAAATACATATCTTATTTATTTTACTGGTATTTACTTCCAGATTTCCTTCATTTCTTCTTTATTGCATTATATAAGTACCACTCATTCAAGGAGAGCAGGTCATGAAATGGCAATGTTAAACCTGCTGCATAGGAAGGGCTAAGAAAGGAAAGAGAACTTTCTTTAGATGAAAAGAAACAAAATAATGCATCCAGTTCACAAGAATGCTATAGAATATTTAAATTCAAATCAACCTACTGAAGTAGGAAGACAAATTTAGATACATGTCCCTGGAATAACAAGATTGGGCATGACATGCGACTCATTTAGCTTGTCAGACACTCAGGAGAATCAAATTTGGTCCAGAGTCTGGCTGTCCTGCAAATGAATTTTAATCTAGAAATATGAAAGATATGGCAGCTGAGAAGGAGGAGGGAAAAAAAAAAAAAAAAAAAAAGTCTCTTGGCACTTCCAGGAAGTTTCCATGGCAGGAAGTGTGGCTTATAAAGGTCTGCTATAGCTACCCCTCAGCAGTGCCACAGGTATGTTCAACCTTTAAAAGTAGGGAAGACCTCCTAAGAGCTTACAACTTAAGTAAGACTTAATCAGATGAACACTGCTACTGACCTCAATAGGAAAATCTGATAATTTATCTTTCCCTGCCCTCAGAGAAAATTTATGTGAAGTCTGGTGACCCCCTTTCCAAGAATGACATGAAGGATGCTGATACCTTAATAGCCCAAACATCTTTCTCTTATGGATGTCCAAGAACTGCTTAGCAATCTGAATGAGCCTGATGAATAGACTTAAACCTAACCATGGTATGGAGGATATTGCCTGTCAGTGAAAGAGTCTGGAAGATCATTACAAGGGTTCCAAGCCTAAAATGTATCAGCAGGTTATCAAAAAAACAAGCCTCTGTTCAACCCAGAAAAGTACATGGTCCTGCACCCAGGGAGGAATGACCCCATGCACGAGTACAGGCCAAGAGCTCACCTGCTGCAGAGCAGCTCTGCCGAGAAGGATCTGGGAGTCCTGGTGGACTAGAGAGCGACCACGAGCCAGCAACGTGCCCTTGTGGCCAAGAAGGCCCAGGAGATCCTAGGCTGCTTTAGGCAGAGTGGTGCCAGCAGGCTGAGGGAGGTGGTCCTACCCCTCTAATTAGTCCTGGTGAGGCCACATCTGGAGTAGTGTCCAGTTCTGGGCTCCCCAGTAAAAGAGATGGGGAACTACTGGAGAGAACCCTGAGTAGGGCTACAAAGATGATCAGAGAACTGCCAGCATCCCTTTTATGAGGAGAGGCTGAGAGAGCTGGGCCCGTTTAGCCTAAAGAAGAGAGGGCTGAGAGGGGACCTTATTAGAGTACACAATATATTAAGGGTTTCAAGACTCTTTTCAGTGGTGGCCAGAGAAAGGATAAGAGGCAACAACTACAACCCGAAACACAAGAAGTTCTGCTGGCATTTGAGAAAATCTTTCTTGTCTGTGAGGGTGACAGAGCCCTGGAACAGGCTGCCCAGGGAGTTTGCAGAGTCTTTTTCTCTAGAGATATTCAAAACCTGCCTGAATGCAACACTGTGCAATGTGCTTGTGCAGAGGACTGGACTAGCTCATCTCCAAAGGTGCCTACAAACCTTAATCATTCAGTGACTCTGTGTGATTTTGCTGTCCTTTCTGTGTGCTCACAAGCAGCTGGCAGTCGAGTACCATTCTTCAGGTTTACCTTCTCTTATATGTTCTTAGATTACAGCCTCTCCACTGCTGAGACTTCCTGCACTACATCTTAAGCACCACTGAGCCAAGTGCTGTAGAAAATAAAACAACTCAATGACTAATTAAAAGCAGGCACATTACCCTCTCCATAAAACCTTCACAGCTTGTCCTGTAATCCAAGCTGACCTCTGCACTCCTTTAGCAAGGTAAAAAGGATTTCCCTGTTTTAAAATGAATCCCCTCTCTACATGCCCTCCTAAAGAAAAAAAAAAAAAAAAAAGAAAAAAGTTTTGAGAGGGATTTACATGGGCAGATCTGACAGTTTGCTTGGGCTGCGAAACATAAATCCAATTTGGATTTCTCTCCAAGAATAAGTAGGTATTAGGGGATCAGACATAGACATCAGTATATAACTGTATTTGTCAATCATGATTTAGATGGAGTAATTCATTTTTTGTTTTGTGTACGTTAGTCATTTAACATTTTAAGAATTAAAAATAAAACATTGCCATTAAAAATAAAACATTGCCATATATCGCAATCAAATTGTCTCTCAGTTACTTGACTTATAAGTAAGTAAAAGCAGAGCACTGCAAAAACACTAAAAACATGCAAAAATCTGTTATCTGCTTGAGTGCTAACTGCACCTCCACATTCAAAGTGCATTTCACATGCTCAAACGATCCTGTCTGTAAGCTCCACGCAGGGAGAAAAGCAGAGGAGCTCTGTGCATACAAATACCTCCTATTTCTATATGATTTAAGAACCAGTGCAGCCACTGCCTCCTTGACACACGCTATGAGGGTATATACTCTTAAAAAAATGTAGCCCAATATAAGCTCCAGTCATTCAATAAAAATATAGTGTGATCATGGACACGGGAAGAGGGGGTAAAATCACTTTCCATATATTCTGCAACACAAACGGTAACAGGGAGGCGAGGGGAGGGTTATAGAGAGACTTGCCTGTGTATGCTGCAGTGTGAAACGTCATCATCTGTAGTGGAGACACCCGGACAACACTTTTTGAAGAGAGGGACAACATATGACAGAAGTGGTGTGATCATTACCCAGAAGGTTGTGAACTCAGGTGGTTGGTCAACTTCAACAGCAAGTGCCCCGGGATACACTGGCAGTCACTTTTGAAGTTATTCGCTAAGGAACAGAGGCTTTGCATGTCCTCTCTCATACTCTAAGGATATTCAATGGTCCAAGTTCCTCTCCATGACCCCATCCTGCACATTTATGTTCAAGTAGTTCTCCCAACTCTTTATCCAACAGAAGATTCAAGAAAGAACATGCCATACACAAGCAAGACTAAAGACATTCAGGACATTCAGTTAATGCAGGTTCCATGTTTCAACCTGTGTGCTTCCCTCCTCATCCCCCAGCCAAGAATTCCTGTGGCCTGACAATGGACTGGGTGGAAGCCTCTGCCTCCTTGTAGCTACAGCAGGGCTTTCACCTGAAAAGCATTGCATACAGCAAACAAGCAACGTGTCCATGGGCTGATGCAAGATGAAGATGTGAAAACACAGGATATTCTGTGCACGACCCAGCATGTATGCGCTGGCACCAGGGAAAGAGATGAATGCATTAATAAATACTCACAGCAATAGCAAGAATGTTTTAAAAGCCAATACGCTCCCAACACCACCGATTACCTTTCTTTAAACACATATTCACAAGCATTATTTAGGCATGTGGGGCACGCACATCAGCCTGGGTGCTGGCACGCATCACGTACCAATACTGAAGATACCATTACTGCCAAACAAGACATTTGGTGGAGATTATATAAAGCCCAACACTTCCAAAATCCAATATGCATTTATGAGTTGCAATGCTTCCTTTTAGCTGTGTCCAGGGCTCTTCTCTAGTGGCATTTTGAAAAAGTTAGTGGAGGAAGCAGCAGTGGCTTTTTCAGCTGCTGGTGTTTTCCCAGTCCCCTCAGAGCTCTGAGATCTTGGGGATAGTGTTGCTGGTAGGTCTGAGTCTGCAGCATCCATGTGGACAGATACTGTTGCTAGAATACAAAATTGGAGGAAAGGGAGAAGAGAGGAAGAAAGTAGGAAAGGGGAAAAAAAGAATTAGAATTAGTGACCTCATGGCAATCTCCTCATAGGACTGCAGTAATTGTCAGCTACAGACCTCATGTCTCGCTTCTTGCGGCTAAGCAGTATTTATTTATTGAGTGATTGCACTTCTTTTCCCTAACTACCACACATGCATGCATTTATTTGAAATATAGGTTCTTAATAGCTTTAGTATTCTTGTCCTGGTGAATCCCACATTCAGAACTTAAAATTCCCAGTCCACAAACTAGAGCCCTTAGTCAAAGTTCCTGGTGTATCAAGAACTTTAGTAGTCCCTTACTTAAAATAAATAAATCTGTAATCTCTTAACAGACAACTTGACCTCCTCACCCAAGGTTCTATTAACCCTCATACTGAGCATGTCAAAGTTTCTGGGAGTTTGCCAGATATCAGGTCATACAACTCGGAGGAAAATACAGCTTTTATCTTCATTCAGTACAGACAGCACCATGAATATTGGCATATATCCAATGTGATAAAGCACCATATTATAACATGAAGCTACCTACTAAACTAGGTTGGAATCCATTCCCAGTACAGAACGAAAAGCGCTTCCAGCAGGATGGTCAGTAACGTAGGGGTAAGATAGTCAGGATAGGATGTAAACTATCTTGCATATATAAGTAATAAGCAGAGTAGAACAGGACAAAAATGGGTTAAAAAACCGTAACTCAGTACTAGTAGTAAGCCTAACCCTTGCTCAGTAGAACTGAAACCCTAACGATCCTGCCTCGGCATCCAGAACGGTGGAGTCACTCCCACACAGCCACAGCTACATGGCTTGTAATGGCATTTATCATCTCTATGCCCCCAATTTTCTCCAAAGGCCATATGAAATATGAAAAAAATATATAAGTCAAAATCCCTGTTATAGTTTTGTCCATTAATTAATAATCACCACCAATACTACAACAGGGACCCTCACTAATATCATCTCAACTGTTTTCTTTGCTCATAAAAAGGATTAAATGAGTTTCTTGCCACTACATCATGACAGACTGACTGCATAAAATACACAGAGGAAAAAGAAAATTCACCAAGCTGCTCACACTCACAACAGAACAGCTTCCAGAGGCTGCTTAAACAGCACTTTTTAGAAACTATCTTTTTCCATGCGTCATGTATGAATGCATGGCAAACTACTATTTAGGCTGATTTTTACTCCAGATTCATCACTGTGGTACCTTAATAGGAAGACCTGAATACCCTGTGCTGTGCTACATACATAGGGAAGTGGACCATAGAAACATTAAAAATATTAACAACAATCAGATCACTTTCAACCCAGAAAACAGGTACAGAAGTATAAATAAAGTTCTCCCTAGTATTTGTCAGACAAGCTCCACTCTGCCACGTGGGACATTACTCCAAACATATTGCAGTGAAACGGAGACTATTAAACACAGTGACACTACTGTGTCACTGTGCCTTAGGAAGCACCTAAGTCATAGATCACTGAAAGCCAGGGGACGTGCATCACCACATTCCTCTTCCCCAGGCACAGGCTGCTGGTCACTGAGTTGAATGAAACTGGTTTAACCAAGTAGAGCCAGTCTTACTTGTTCAAGACCTCCTCCTTCTATTACCAATTTGCACCAGCTAGATTTTTGTTTCTTATCTGGAGAAAACTTAATGTTTTAGGGCCTGCACACTGCAAATTCACCAAATTTGGAAAGCAAGGGCCAGTACTTTCCCGTTCACTCAACATGTGCATAGCAATGTTCAATGTATTTCTTAAAATGATGTTCACTTCCCAAAGCCCAAGTGCTTCCTTCTGGACTTTCTACCCATTTTTGCTGCTCTCAACAGGCAGACATTTCACCCAAAATGCTACTCTCCAACAACAATCATCTCAGGTTTCGTATTTAGTCCAATTAGCCTCAAAGGTCTGGACTAATTGCAGAAGTTTAATGCTGTAACAATACGATGAAGACCAGGCACTTTTGCTGGAGTAGCATCTGCTTCTTGATGGTAACACAAGGGTTTCTGCCAAAACATGCTCTATCAGAACCCATAACTACTAACATTAAAGGATTTGGGAAGACTTTGAACAAACCTAATTTGCTTAGATCCCAAATAAACACACCTCCAATCTCCCTTACTACAACAAAAATCTACCACTCACATTTCACTCTTTTTTTAAAATTTATTATTGTTAGCATCTTATGATTCCAGTCAAATTCAGCTCAAAACTTTCTATGGATGGGGAGAGCGGGGGGAGCACGACAGGGGAAGATTTGTAGCTGCATGTTTAAGAAAGAAGCTAAATTCATCACAGTGACAGGGGAGAGTGTTGGCAGAGATTTGAGCTATTTATTCTTTTAGGAAAATCCTATAAAGAATGACACGAGGAAGCCTCTATCTGCAGTCTTGTTCATCACACTGGTGAGGAGTCCGATAACAGATGTATGCAGCGGCGTGATTTAGTGCTGGGAGCTGGCCCCTGATGTGTATTAATACAGCGGCAAAGCGGAACGAAACCCTCTTCATCACTCATCTCTATAAAAGAGGTGGAATCCGAGATGGCCCGATGTTCGGCAGAGCAAGCCCATTTGTTCTGCTGACTGATGGAGCCAGCTCGGGCTTTGTCCTTCACCTCCATGGGGCACTCGGGTTGCAAAAAAGGAGATCACTGAAGCAGGACCTGGTCAACAAGTGAGACGAGAGCAGTTGGACTCAGCTGAGGAACTATTTAGAGGAAAAGAAATCCAGCGCTATATGTGCACGTGTGAACCGTCACAGGCACGGGCAATTCTGATTCACCCCAGTGTCTTGATTCTGGCAGAAGAGAAAAAAATCTGCAAACAGAAGGCGAGAGAACCTGGCTGCCCTGCTTCCCAGGGACAGAGGAACCTCAGCACAGGGATGCATTTATTTTCTCCCTTGCACGCATCTACTTCTGTCTCACCAATGGCCAACAAGCAGAGAAGGCTTCAGTTCACCCCACAGTGCTGCAGCATAATGCTAGGTATTTCTCTAGAAGTTTGTAATTCTACTGTCATACCAGTTTGAGGGAAATAGTATGAAATTCCACATGATTCCAAGTGGCATGTCCGAGTTGCGCCCCACCTCCACTCGGATTATGAGATGGCTGTGGGAGGTCAGCTTCCTACACACAGCTTCCTTCAGGCAATCACAGATTTTCTACTTGCAAGTCAGGACTGTAACAAACCCCATCAATAGGAGTGACACAGATGGGACATTTTCAAAACAGGATCTAGGCAAAGAGAGCATTTCTGACCATTAAAGGATGTTGCAGAACTTCTGCCATAGCTTGATACACGAGCTTTGCAGCCAGTATCTTCTCACTATACTCTGATTAAAAATTACAAGTATGCCTTCGAAATTAATTTGTAACAAATATTCTATTCCCCTCACCTGCTTCCTTCCTAAAATAATTTCTGGTCTCTGAGCTGCTTTCTAACTCTTGAGTTCCACTCCAGAGTTAGGTTCCCTTCTCCAGAAAACATTCACTCTACAATTTGCCTAGTCAGTTAAGTACAAGTTAGATTAATATTATGACACTTGCAGGCACAGAAATATAAAGTGACTAGCAATGCAGTACAGAAATTACATTCTGAACAAAAAATAAAAGGACACATAATAGGAGACAGTGAGACGCTTGCATTTATACCAAGAAAACTCAGGACTCTAGCACTGAGGATCTGAGGTTCCTAAGACACAACTTTACCAATCCTTTCACTCCATAAGCTTAAATATCTTAGCATGGGATACTCAAAAGTTAGGAAAGAGCATCCTGAATCAGTCAATCACTCAATCCATAATCCTCATCTGAGGGAGGTTTGTACCATCTCTGGAGGGATAGTACAGCTTGCACTTTCTTACTTCATTCTGGCTCCTCACTAGCTTAATGAAAAGCTCTTCCACTTCATCACGAGGTCTTTTGGCCGTCCACACACTTTTCACATCACTGCTTTTCCCAGAAACTCATCTACCTTCCCATTACTGGATTACAACAATAGTTGTCAATAACCAAGTCGTAGAATGTGGGTCACTTGACTGCAAGCAGAATGTTTCCAGAGGTGGACTTGGGTGGGAATACAGAAAGAGGTCTCCTAAACACCATTTTGTGCTACAGATTTGTACTTTTTCAGATTTAGATAAGTAATCAGTCACCTGCATAATCTACAATAAAAGAAAAGAGCATTTTAACCACTTCACTCTTAAATGAAGAATGAAAAAAAGTCTATTCTCATTCTTAACAGTTGAATGACCCCCTGGGAGTAGGTCTCCTCATCCAGTGACCACACAAGAACCCACCAGTCTAGAGATCACCTCTGAACAGAAGCACAGACTACACTGATCACCTCCTTACTGCCCAGTACTGCATAATTTAAGAATAATGTAAATACCTTATATAGAAATAATTACCCACTGCACAGTTAAGCACTGCACAAGCTTACCACAACTGCATTACCAAAGATTTGTCCAGTAAGCAATTTTTGTTATTGTGCAAAAAACAGTTTCAAGTGAAGGCACTGCTGTTAATATAGCGCTAGAAGACACAAATTTTGTGTAAAGAGTATTAGGATGGAAGATAAATTCTCCAGTCTGTTAACTCTGTTTTTTCAAGGTTTGAATGTTAATTGAAAAAAAATCAAAAACCAAAACACCACAGCAAAGAATAAACCCAGGCTACCTGAAGTTGGGCTGGAAATGGAGGCTGCAGCTGGCTTTCGTTTCCTCTTGATATCCCTTGAGCACGGTGGTCCCAGGTGCACATTTGCTTGCCTGTAGGGAAATTAAAATGACAAACTAAAATCTGTTCCAATACCATTTTCCTTGGAAAAATTCTGGTCAAAAACCCTCCAACTCCCTCCTCTGTCTCAGTCCCTTCTCCCACAGGGAAGGTGAATCAAAAGCTTCTCAGGTAAGCTTTGTTCAAACTCTTCATTAACATGCTATTATGCTCCCTCTTCCTTTTAGAGCTCCCAAACACAAACTAATCACAACACTTATTTCTGAGCCTTTAAAGGCTTTGTATTTACTTTTAAGTAACTCTTTGTATAAATAAGGTTGTGATCAAACAGCATTATGATAAGTGACCTACCATTATTGCTACACAGGCCTTACAAACATCCGCAAAACTGCTAGTTAAAGCAAGTAAGCAACCTTTACTTCCTTATAAGGAAATTATTTTAGAGCCTACTTAGAGGTGTAGAGTTGTCTTATGACACACATACATTTCAAATAGCCACGCACATTACTTTCACTACAGCAGCAGAGTTCATTAATTTAGTTTGGAATGCAAAACTGTCTCATGTGGCTTCAAAAGGATTATTTCCTTACACAAGTGCAATAAAGACAGCCCAATTTGACTTTTTCCTGCACTAGTAAACTGGCTGAAAGGAGCAACTTGTTAAGTCTGAAGGCTAATGACAACTACTCCAGTTTAACAGTTTGCCAATTCAGAAGAAACATTTCATGACCAGGACTGGATTGAATATTCCTCCAAATTACAAAGGTAGCAAGAAGTGATGTTTAATTCAGAGAAGACTGTCTTGGCCACACTCCAGAGAACCATCTCCAACACAATCCATAACAAACAGGACTGCATCATTTAGCAGCAATGTTGGGGTTTAATCCCTGTGTTGTCCACCGAAGAAAGTCTTTGGCGAGTTGCTTTGTTTTGGTCTCATCTGCATCTCGTGTGCCAAATGCAGAACTACAGGGCAAATAAAATCTCTTAAAGATCGTGAGGTGTTTACATCGTGTAAAGATTGGAAACATAGAAATTCTGAAGATTGAGTGATTTAATGCTTCTGTACCACTAATGCCTGTACCACTATTACCACTATGCTAATATAATTTAAAATATGAAATTTAAGATGAATTTATGCAATAGCAAAATTTGCTGTTGTAGTTATACAGGACTGTGTATGGGGCACAGAAAATTCCACAGCACCGGATATTGTTTGAATATCACCAAGTCTATGTATGTATTTGTATCAAACAGTAACAATATAAGGAAGACAAAATAGAATATCCAGTATTTTGCACTTTCAAATAAAATTCCAAACTTCTACAAGAAGTCTGCAAGATGTGTCATCTTAAACTGACATTAAAGAATAGCAGAAATGTAAATTTTTTGAAATTAAGTTTCACTGAGGGCTAGTATTTCAAATCCTTCATTTTGGGGAGCACATATTAAGAGAACTAGAGACAGAAGTTTCCTGAAAAGATGAACTAAAGATTTTTAGAAATACCAGAGACATACAAATCTCATGATTTTAAATGACTAAACTGTGACCTCTGTGTATGTTAAAACTGCTTTTGTACATGATTATGAGTACCTATGTATTATTATAGTGCATTTCTATGTGTATTCTGAAACATCCAGGCAAACAAGGAAAACAGGCTCAATTAAATGTAACTTCAGTTCTGTACTTTGCCTCAGTGATAGATTAGATCACTAAGTAGATGACTACATAATTATATATAATAATCCAACTCATTTCTTTATTCGAAAGAATGCTCACTTTCCAATTTTATGTGCTTACACCAACACTAGCCAGTTGATCCTTAGTGAAGGATCACTATTATTTTCAAGGGACTTAATGCAATTTGCCCCACTGACAAAAGTAACAGCTACATTAAGAGTTCCTGGCTTTCAGCTCCATGCCCAAACAACATCCATCTTTGCCACAAAACTACACAGGAAAAGAACAAAAATCAAAACAGGGCAAGCGCTTCTCAGAGTCCCTTCCTGTAGTGAAAATAAACCCAAGGCATTCTCCAGCTGGAGACTTGTAGCAAGGATGCTGCATCTAGCAGCCCTGCCTCTAACACAAGCGCCTCAGAGGTCATAAATTGTCCCTGTAACACGTATTTCATTCAGGTTTATCCCTTATTGATCACCCACAGTCCAGCGAGTAAATCAGGAAGCTATTGATTACTCACTAGCTCCGACCGACCTGGTGGTAAAAGTGTCATTTTCCAGTGGCTGGTGCCCTTTAGGGGCCCCATAAATCTGCATGGGGGCACTGCCAGGCGGAGCACCCCAACCTCGGCACGGGAGCACGCGGGATGCCGGGCACGCACAGCACAGGGATTCAAGGTGCAGCAGATGAAACACACCTTGCTGGTTGATATCAAGCTCCTCAACCTATTTTTCTAGTTGCTAGCACGTAGGGGCACTATTAAAAGTGAAGAGAGTTAATTCCAGCTTATTAGAAGATTCCTAGAAACAGCAACAAGAAAGTCAGATAAGGGGTCGGTACAATATAATGCTACAGCAATCAACAGGTTGAACTGCAAATATCTCATTTATAGATTGCAACATGATAGTTTTTCTGCCAAAACTGACTTTTAACAGTTCTTTTGAACAGCTTAGAAATAATTCAGAATAAGTTAAATAAGGCTGAGAGGAAACAGGAAGATAAAATAAACAAGTTCATTGTTACAAGCTTTTCTGTGAAGAAATAAGAGGCAGAGAATTTCATGGGATGAAAGAGAGGCCTAAATTGAGAAATTGGGACCATTCCTACTTCGTCCTCACTTTCAACCTTTCTTTTCTAGGCTTCTTTGCGTTCTTCACTGTTGCACAAACAACAGAAGGAAAATAACTGATTATTTCTGAGCTAGGGTTGGTGGATCATAAAAAAAGCAGTGCTCAATCTCACTTGAATATTTGGATCTACTAGGTGACTAGAGCCTAATGCAAAAAACTACTGTAATACCCAGAGGGGACTGGAATGCTACTCTGAGAAGAGTAAGAGCAGAGAACACCTGCACAGAAAGAGCAGAGCGTGAAGTGCAGCTACCCTGATAGCTGCAATACACCCAGCTCACACAGAGGAAGCGCTGCAGCCTCTCATTGCCAGAAGTTTGCAAATTAAAAATCAAATACCTATGAAAAAAAGGCCTTATATGAAAAAAACCTACAGTTACTTTTTGACAGGGATCTTTTTTTAATCACAAGTGAAGAATTACCCAGGAAATATAAATGCATCTTTCATGCTTAACACATTACTTCTTAAGGTACCCGATTCTGCATACAATTCAACTGGAGAAAAAACAGCCTTTGCTGGGCATAAAGCTGGGATTCACTGCTGTCCTCCAATGAGTCAGATTGAGCAATATTTTCTTTCCCTCCCCTGTTCCCTCATTCTCATAAACATATTCTATGGCTTTTTTTTGTACTATTAAACAGGTTGTAAATGCATGCCCTGGACAGCTGACAGACACTCACATTGTGCTACAGTGGCCTAAGAGAATCTTGTCACTTTTCACCCGTACTACGGGGTTAAAATAAGAAAATTGTAGGATTTATGATCAGCAAATGGTGGCATCTGTGGAAAATGGAATACAGAGCGCAGACACCAGGTCACAAGAACCTGCCTGAACACAACCAGGCCCCCTTCACAGCCGATTAAAAAAACTCTAGATTGTTAAGTTATATTCAGGTTCTCAAAACTCAGGCTAAAAGCCACCACATTGTCATGGCAGAGGCCTCTGAGAAGACTCTGCAAAGATGACTGCGACACTCAAGTCTGCTGCTCTCTTAGAAGCAAAGGTACATGCCCTACACACCTAGAAGTGCGTGTCCCCCACTGGAATCTCACAGCATCCAGTTTGCTGATATTCTTTATTCTAACCATATCCTTGCAAGCAGAGCACTTGAATTGTGTAACGAGAGCACGAGGTGGCCATAAATCTACCAACATACAAAGAAGAGGTGCTATTATTCTCATTTAAAGTAAACATTAAGAGAGAGCCTTCTAACAAGGATCCTGTTACTAAAGCTGCACATAACCCAGCTGTTGTTGTGATGCTGCATTCCCAGCAAACACAGGCCAAATAAAAGGTTCCTTTCCTGAGCCCTGGGGTGTTACCTGAGGCTGTTTATGGTAGCTTCAAAGGTCAAAATTAATAGTGAGAGTAGGCTCCCTCCTCCTCTTTGAAACTATACAGCAGCTGGGCACTGGGGTCTGATCTGCACATCACATGTGTAAATCACTACAAGTTGCTCATGCAATCTGCAGGCAAAGCTCCCATGCATGCACATGGTTCTTGCTATCACAGATGGATTTTTTTCTCTGAATGGGAGTGTCTTCTGCCTGGCAAGGCCTCACTGCAGAGCTTCTAGAGAAGATTTTCATCCTCTAGCAGGTCAGTTCATTTCTTAAATCACCTGAATCTCACAGGTCCTCATTCAGCAGCAGTTACTCCCCAAGTATTGCAGTGATGCAGCAATTCAGTCCTTAGAGCTCTGCATGTGACAAACAAGTGAACTCACTTTTCTTCTATTTTCCCCAAGTAAAGCTTCTAAACAGAGGAGACATTACCATATATTTTGATTTACATTTTCATATTGAATCATGTGATACCAGTGCTAAAAAGAATCCTTGTATCTGCCAAGCCTGCTGAATATATATATAGACTTGATGACGGCAACATGCTTCATAGGGGGGAAAAAAAGGAAAGTAAGTAAACACAGCTCTGAAGAGGAATTTACTTTTCATATGGAGAATTAGGATTCACCAAAATGGGAGCATTAGGCCCCAAGCAACTGCATGTGACACTAACTTGACAGCTGCTGCTCACTGCATGTACATCAGAACTCAAATCCTCAGCTGGTAAATTACCAAACCTTAGCAAAAGAAGCCTGGAAGGTGCTCCAGCTAAATGGAAGGAGTTTAAAAAGGACTGGGGAGGCAGATGGCTAAAGTAGCTGAAATCAAAGACAATTCTACATAGAAAGCTTTCAGGAAGAGGAAAACATGTGAAACGGTTGATCAGAACGAGCTGAATATTGTTCTGGTCAAATGGGACTGCATGAAATTCTGAACACTACTTCACTCCTTCAGCTACCTCAGGAAAAGACTGACATTTGCAGGCAGTCACACACTTGGGTAAGATGCAAAAATGTCAGAGTTGCCACACAGACTGAAAAAGAAGAAAAAACAGATTCAGATATGTACATATTTCTAGAACTCGAGGACATGCAAGCCTTTTCATCCTAACAGCACCACCAATGCCAGGGTGTGCAGCAACTGGCAGTTTACTAGAAGCTGATAACCTACCCTTTAGATTTCTATGCCATGTTCCCGGCAAGATGAGAAGGACTTTTCTTCTAAATTCTGTTAAATGCTACGTTTAAGGCTAACATTAATTAAGAGTACATGCCAAATCATTTTCTTTATGATTCAACTGAATAGCTCAGAGGTCTCTCTTAACAATTGTTAAGAACTCCATCTTCAAAAATCTACTCGTCATCCATTAGGTGCTTAGGTCCACTTTTTGTATGTATTTCACTAAAAACATTCAGTTGATTTTTTCACCCCTTACTCTAATTCCAGCACTACACAAACAGTAAACATTAAGGACAGTTTATCTTCTACTTTCTCATTTTATTCCATCTTCTATTTAAGCCCAAATCCAAGGGAACGTTGGCTCTAGGTGCTTCTGAAATTCTCACCCTGCTTCAAGGGAATAACTTTCCGTCAACCAACACTACAGAGCATTGATAAAGCCATGGGATTTCCAAAACCTAAACTAAATGTTCTAGCTTGAGTCTTGACAAAATCTTCTTCAATAGAAGGAGTTTAAAAAGACAGAATTCTGCTCAGACCATCCCCTTCTACCAGAGTGGCAACTGGGTAGAGGGGAAAGAAAAGGATTGCTTGGTCTGTCCATGCAAGTCTCTATTTGCTTGCTTTTAACAGCCTGCATTGTCAAGCAGAAACCTTAACAGACAAGGCATGATTAGCAAATGCTTTGTGCTCTTAAAGGAGAGTAATTATAGGCATGTGAAAAAAGGGAAGAGATCCCTGAGGTACTCTTCCTTGTATGCCTCCCGAGAGGCAGCAGAGCCATTAAAAATTCCATGATGAAGAGAAAAAACAGCCTGGGAACAGCCAGGAGGCAATACAGCAAATTAATACACCAGCTGTCCCTCGGGAGGGCTGCAAGAAAGCAGGAAACTCACATTCACAAAATAAAATTATACCACTAATGATAACAGTCACCACACACTCGAAACTGCTTCTAATGATGGGTGTGAAATTCCCAGTGCTGTGCATACACTTTGAATGAAATCTCTTCTCATCACAGACATAAAGCAAGAGAGGTAATCTTGGTAGTGTACAATTTATCCGGCCTTTCAAATAAGACTTCCCAAGGAACCCTCCACGCAGAATCTTCTCCTTGACACCGGAAAGCCCTTCTTGAACACCCTGGCTCCATGCTCAGCATTCTGGCCAACAGCTCTGCTTACAGTTACCATCCATTCACTGCACTATGGGGTGAACTGGACCAAAATCCACAGAGGCAAAAAAAACCCCAAAAACCCACCATTTCAATGGCAGAGACCGGATTCCACCTCGTAACTCCACTGAATGCATTTGCATTCATTAAAGAGGACAAGAAACCAAGTAGAGGGAGGTAGCTTTGCATGGCACAGCAGGCCTCAGGCTGGAACTGGTTGTCCTCAGCATCAAGATGGGCTCTTCTCCAAGGCATTTCCCATCATTCTCATGGCATTGGTGCTTCTTTTCCTACCTTATTCTGAGTAAATTTCCTACCTCTGTTTTTGAGCAAGTACCTCCAGCATGAGATGCAAGCTGCTAGGGAGCTTAGAAAAACCACAAAATATTAGAATTTAACCCATCCACAGAAAAAGAGGAATATTTTAAGTGGGGCGATAGATAAAGAGCACTCAGAGAGCGCTCTGAGTATCTGGAGTATCTGAACCTCCTGCAAGGAATGAGAAAATAGACTGCTAGTGGACTTTGATCTTGAAGCATTAAAGGACAAGCATCATCAGGAGAACGTTTCTGCGAAGGAACAAATTTCCTTCTTTGCTGCCGGCAGCATCTTTACCTAGGGCAAACACCTTGCACTCAGGAGTTCAATCCTGGCTACCCACATGGGGACATTAACACTTTCATTCTCATCATATTTTTCCCCCATAAAGATTCTAGAGCGTATTTCACACTGTAATAGGAACCACTTTACCTATAACTATAGGTCTCTCGAAACGCAGCGACCTCTGGGATGGGACAAACAACTTGGCTGACAACTCCTCAGGAATTATGTTTGTCAGGACATCAGCTAACTTAGAAGGAACCAAGCATATCCACCAGCTGCTAAACATAAGTTATAAAAACAAGTAGCCACTACGATTTACCCCAGCTTCAGAAATCCCTTGTTCAACTAATCCACAAGCAGTGGCTTTGAAAAAAGCCTCCACAGATCATCATAAAGGTAGAGTTTGACCTGTATGAATTTGTAAACAGGAGCTGGCCAGACCTGTGTTGTGAATGGGGACGAGTTGGTGCCACCTGGAGCTTGGGCAGAACTCAGCGCAATACTCAAGGCTCAAGAAAGGACAAGTTCACTGCAGTTGACAAGACCACTTGTCCCAGAGCAATACGCAAACTGGGGCAGAAGCACTGAAAGGAGCCAACATGCTGATGCACAGTCTTTTTGAGTTCTTTTTATTTTCTCACAGCTGATTTTCTACAAACTGGGTTTTTTTCTTGTTGTTTTGCTTTGTTTTCCAGCTTCAGCATGTTGGCTACAGCAGCATGAGGTCATGGTGCGACATCACACAACTCCCACAGAAGCCAGTGGGAGGAGAGGCTCTGCTGGGTGGGTGCCAAGCCTTCCTTCAGGCACATACAACCTCAGTACATTTTTCATGCTCTATTTGCTAATTAACAAGTGAAAGAAAACCATGAAGTCGAAAGTCGAGGCGGTTCTTTCAGATTAAGTCCTTCTACACGAATATAAACAGGGCTGAACCCCAGGCAAGGCTTCGTCTCCTTCCACTTTAAAGCTCAAGGGCACCTTACCTTTGGACAGCCACCTGCAGTGCAAGAGCTGGAGCAACCTTCAGGGGTGATACTTACGTTTAATTTAGAATTAGCCAACACCAGGTACCCAAATAGTATTAACTCAAACTGTACAGACTCAAATATATCTTGACAGTTGGCCAGTCCAGACCTTGATTTCAACTGTAGCAACATACAGAGATATCAAAGCATTTGATGGTCATATCAGATCTCTGTGCTAGACACTCAGGACCCCAAAAAGGCCTCACTATCTCACCCTCACTAGTTTGCCAGCAGTTTGCTTCCGTTCTTTTTCCGAATCTAATATCCAGCACCACCACTACACACACTGATAATCACACAGCAGACCAGCAGCAATTCACTGCACAACACACAACACAACACATTTATTTCTGAAACACAGCATGTTCCACCTAACATACACTGTTTCACACTCTGAGTATTTAGTGTACAGAGACTGCTTTACACTCAGGTTGAACACAGGCCTCCGGTGTTCACCAAGGAAAAGCACATTAACTTCCAGGCCTGTGAGTACTCTACTCACTGCACGGTGCTACTGAAGATACCCATGGGAGGGAAGTGAGACAACCCCCACAGAGCAAAGCAAGGGAGTTACCTGGCAGTGCAGCGTGCTGGAGAGCATCTTCGGTGGGAAGCATCAGCAAGCATGTCCAGAGAGTACAGAGGAGATAATGGATTGAACTGGAAAGTCAAGAGAGTTTATTTAAACAAAGTGTTAAAAGAAACAGTCTCCATACACAGCTGCTAAGGTCTATGCCTTATAGGTGTTCATATAGTGTATGGGGACCTTTCCAAAACATGAAAGGGTGAGGCTGACTTCAGAAGAAAAACTGGCATAGAACATAACACCAATAACCAACCCTCTTCTCACCACAGGCAGCCCTACCAGCACACTCCTCTTTCATGAACCTCACATGACCACAAACGTTGGTTGACCAAGAGCATCCTCAAAAAACTCCTCTGCTGCACTATGAGCAAGTCTGCTTCCCTTTAAGGAAGTTTTTTGACCATGTTCATATTGCAGTCAGTGCTATGAACGGTGCAAACACAGAACGTTCCAATATGTGACTGCAGGAAATGTCATCTCAGAGATTTCTAGGAGACTCAGGCCTACCAGGCTCAGTCCATAATGAGCTCCCCATTAATTCCATAGAAAGTTAACTGTACACCGCTCCTCCCACTCCCTTTGTAAGTTCTTTCTCTGCAAACTGCTTAAAAGAAGTTTCTGAAACTGGTTGGTCAGAATAATTTCAGATACCGAACAAGTGTTGAGGCCAGCATGACTAATCGAGACAGCTCATTGCAGAAGATGCAACTCGAAGAGTTTTGGGGGTTTTTTTTGTTTGTTTTGTTTTCCTCTCCAGGAACAGGACAGAGATGGATTCATCTATCCAACCAAAGTAAGCACTGGTTACCTTACTCAATTGGCCAATTCAAAGTTCATTCTCATAGCTGCTCTTGGATGCCTGCAATGCATCTCCCCTCACCACCACTTCTTAACCAGTGTTCTTGTATTACTAGGCTCACCCACGCATTTTAAAAGAAAAAATGAATAATCCACAGCTGTAGCAGGACTCTCAGACATAAGCACTATCTGCAAGTCTGAAAGTTGGTACAAGGCCTTTGTCTTCAAACTTTTTGACAGAAAGTGTGGCACTTTGTGCCATACAGTTTCTGTTATCAGAGAGCTCCTCCTCAAACTGTGGGCTTATCATCAGCGAAGTAACACTGCAGCTGGACAGTAGGGAGAATCACCAACAGTCTTTTATAGCTGATGCAAGTTCATTTGAGAAAAACAAAAGCATTTATTTTTGTCATTTTAAAGCTTACTGTAATTATCATTCATCTCTTTAGCAGTACAGGAATTATTGTCACAAACAGGACATGCTGTACATGTCCTTACAGCCACCTGAAGGGAATGGCTTTTAACCTTAGAATTCACAAACCAAAAAAATTGTAATTGAACAGGAGGGAGTGTGCACGGCTGAAAACGGTTACAACACAACAGCTGAATTGGAAAATGATTTTGCTTGCTGGTATGAAGAAGGTGAGCTCTATCTCAAGAGAAAAAGGTTCCTGACACCTAACCTATGTAAGACTTGCTGGACACCACTTAATAAGGTAAAAGTCCACTTGCAAGAGCCTCAGTGAGTTAAAAGAGCAGCTATTTCACTCATCACCTCCTACATTTCCCTGGTGGAGTTGCTATTTAATTACAATCAGCTCACCAATTTTTCCCATCTCATTTAATCAGATTATCAGGCAAAAGTCTGAATCAAAGCAAAACAAAGCATCTAAAGAGAGTTCCCGTTCTTACGGAATTTGGTGAGGTCTAAGCTCCTCCTGTCAAGAGGATTAACCCTTCCATACCCTCTAGATACACTAGAGGAAGACTGGCACAAGCCTAACATAGGGAGATAAACAAAAGGAGTTCTCAGGCTATTCAGTCCAAATAGACAATACGATGCTGAGACATGGGTTGTTTCAAAGCCCAGAAGATATCAGTTACCAAAATGAGAAGGGACAGGGCTGCCTTACCTCACGTGCATGGGCCACAGTGTGGGGGAAATCAGAGGCTGGCACTTTGTTCCTTCTAGAGAGAGGGAAACCAAGAAAATAAAAAAGGTAGAGCAGGGTCAGCTTACCTGGCTGCGATCTCTCTTCCCCATGGATGGTAACCAAAAACTGGAAGAAGGCAGAGAAGAAAGGAGAAGTGGGAGCAAAACCAAGGAAGAAAGGAACAAGGGAAAAGACAGTTGCAGGTAAGGAAAGTAGGAGAGGAACAAAAATGGAGGGAGAAGAAGAGAGATTAAGCACCAACTGGACTCATACTGAAAACAACAAATTTCAGATCCAGGGAAGATGTGGATGCTGTGGGCTGGTGAAGGCTGAACCCACTGAATTACAGTGGAGAGGAGTCCCCCTTACCTAGCCAATAGTCCAGCATGAACAGCATTAGTGGACCCAAGGGGCAGATGGCATATTTGTGGTGCCAAGTATAATAATAATACACAAATTGGGAGAGGAGAGATAGAACATCAGTGATGGAGAAGGCAATTTCATGGCTGCCTTGTGAGCAAAATTTCTGCTACTGGGCACATGCCCATAGTGTGTCTCCACATAGAAGTTTTCAAAAAACTAACAGAAAGAGCTCTTCTCATGACTGATGGGAGAGCCATAGTTACTGCATGAGGGTATATGATAAGAGAAGAGAAAAAGATGACTGGAAACAGAAAAGCATTTGAATACTGGCCACACACAGGGGCACCTTTAACATGGGGGAGATGGAAATAAGATAATGAAGAAACCATCACTAAAGCGCTAAGTCGTATTCAGCAGGTCACCACATTCTTAAAATTACTGCAAAGCTTTTCATTCCCTCCAGTCCCAGAAAGGAAGAGGGCCCCATAGTTCTTCCATCCCTCCCAAAGTCCTATACCACAACTGGTAAGGGCCTTACTCTTTCTGGCGAGGGTCACTAACAATATGGCCTAACCTCTCAGTGCCCAGGGTGCTCATGGAGGTCTCCTGAAACACAAAGACAGGTAAACAGTTGCAGATTCTCATGTAGTGAGCAGACATAACAGCTTGCTACTGCCACTTAGAAGACAACTTTTGCCCTCATCCCTTCCTTCCCAACCCACTCTCAGCTAAGCTTATCTACCTTCTCATTTTAGAACCTCAGGTGAGTTGATTTAACTAATAAGAATGGAAGAAAAAAAAGCTATTCTATTTGCTGGGCAAGTTTGCTGACATTTTAGTGACACTAGCAAAGGTGTGCACCCAGGACTGAATTAGTAGGTGGTATGTGACACAATGGTGCAGCTCAGAACACAGGTAAGGGCAGAGAAATGCCTACCCACAGGCTGCTGCAGCCGGCTGGGCGAGAAACAGGCTGAGAGCTGAGACATCACATTACCCCACCAATAAAAATCTAAAAACCTTGTTTTCCTCATAAACAACAGCCAATTTCTCTAATCAAAGAAGGGGATTCATTGAGCACAGAAGAATGCAGCCATGACTAAGCACGGAGCTTGTGCTTTCTGAAAGCAGCAAGGTAGGATAATATCTCTAAATTTAACAAAAAAAAGGTACATCCTAAGAGGAAGGACTCGCTCTGGTCTGGGAGCACATTCCTCCCCGCAAGACGCTGCCCTGCTCACGTGCTTGATGCTGATGCACTCACACAACCTGAAGCATTAGCTGTTCATATCTGCATAGCAACTACCTTGAAGAAAAACATACTCTGTGGTGTGTCTGAATAGGAGGATAAAAGGCTTTTACAGGTAAGATTCTTCATAGCTTGTGCCAGGCTACACAGGCAAAACACATACTAAGTTTGGGGGAGGTTGTAGCAGCAGGGGTGAAAAATGGGCTATTTGTTACAGCAGGAAAATTACTAACTTAAAGTGCCGTAATGTTTAAATTTACGGTTTATTACTGTGTAAATTACAAGCCGTACTTTTGGTAATTAGCAGCTCGCTGGCGGGGAGCTCTGAATGAAACTCATTATTTATGATTACAATTTAGAGATGGGGAAGGGGGAGCAGTGACCTCCACTGCAAATGACAAAGATCCCTTTAAGGTGATGAAGATGAATTAAACAAGTAAATATTATCCTTCTCATTTGGATCATTAGAGGTGCTGCCAAGAGGCCCAGTCACTTGCATGTGGCCTGAGGAGCTGTACCCAGAGCTGATCTCTTGCCAGCTGAGGACTCATATTTTAAACACTGGTTACAACCAAGCAAGGTGACTGAAGGAAGAAGGGGCAAACAAGGAGCTTGCAAGTGTGACTGAAGAGAGGCAGGAGAGCGCACTCAGAGCCCCCAGCCTCCTCCTACATCCCTCTCTAACAAAGACTGTCTAAGGGCAGCCACTTCAAAATGTAAACAAACACCAGCAAGAGCACATCCCAGTTAAAGTAAAACCAATTCAGCTGACACTTTTCTTCTCAGAAAGGTCTTTCATCGTGGATGACAGCATTTTCCACTCCAACATCCAGCCATGATCAGATATTTTCCTCCCTATGTAAGTAGGCTTCTGCCAAACCACCAAACAGGAACTGGACTAACATTTCTTCTCTCTTTGCACCAAATCCTTCTGTCACTAAAAGTGCATCTGAAAAAGCCCCCTTCCCTCTACTGTCATTCATACCACACTACTGTGTGGTAAAATTTTTACATCTTTTTTTTAAATTTTTTACGGTAAAATTCAACCTTCCTTCACCTTTGAGTCAGCTCTCAGGTCTTGCAGTCTCAGATTATAAGCATGCACCTGTCCTGCCATCATTACTTTCCCCTGTATTCTGCCTAAAGCTTGCTGGTATTTATGGTCCCTACCAATCAGTCTCATACATCCTTCCACCCTGCTTTTAGCAATGATCAATTCTCTTTGCCATTCAAAACGTTCCTTAAGGTCCACTTTGTCACTGAATCTACTTCAGTCAGCCAAAGCAGTTAAGCAAAACAGAGAGCATGTGAAAAAAAGCATCTAGGGCCCACTTTCTACAGAAAGCAATTCACTTGCTAACTTACTTAAAACACTACTTCAGGCTGACCTGCATTGTTAATACAAATTTATTATCTTGCAAAATGAATACCTTGCCAACGAGCCTCCTGCGGCCCTTCCGGAGACAACGGGCAGCAGCTCCTGGCAGGCGATTGAGGCGAGCATGAAACCCTGAAAAACAAGAAAAAAAAACGCACAAGAAAATGGAGAGCAATGAGATTCCAGCTGATAAAACACTCATGAAAGGGAGCTGGTTAGGTAGATGCAGTGCAGAATTGAGATCACATTTTGTACGCAGCCATAATTTATTCATTCAATTTATTCATAAATTAAACACATTAAAAGAGGGAAATAAAACAAGAAAAGAAGACTCGAGAACTGAATCAGCTGATGTCAGGATAACTGTCAGCTGATGTGAGGATAATGATTATTTCAGGATCCTCTCCACTAGTGCAGCTATTCTGAATCATGACTTTATTGCTCTACAGACAAACAACAAATAAAGTTTATAAAACCCACACGCACAAACGTCATATATCTTTCAATCTTTCCATTGAGAAGGTGGGACACATGAAGAAAGGTCATTAATGAAAGTAAGAATGAAAGAAAGAGCAGCACACACACCACTAACATGAGTTTAAGCTGCAGTGCCTACAAATGATATCTTGGCATCATGTCGGAGTTCATCGACAGGCTGCCTTCCTTGCAGAGCTCACCTCTCTGAGCCGGCCGCGAGGGCAAGAGGAAGGTGGAATCCGAGAGCTTGTCCAGGCCCGCGTCAAGCCGCTCCACTTCGGATCGGTGGTCAGCTCCCCACTTAGGGAGAAAGTTGGGGACAGTGAATCCTGGGACACATTCTCCTTCATAAAACCAATCACTCTGCTCGTCATCTCCTAAAGAAACGGGAAGGAATTATCCACAAGAAACACAACATGCCCTGAGACTGCCCCACAAAGATGAGAAAAAACAGCTGAGATCTCATCAGAAAATCCTTCCTAAAGATCCTTATATATGTACTCTGTTTCAGTGATCTGCAATAACTACACTCTAATACTTTAAACTAGCCAACTCATCCATCTACACAATATATACTGTATACACCTGCCTAGGACAGCTTTATCACTCTGTAATGGCTGCATCTCATCAACCTTAGTTCAGTGCTGCACAATGTCTAATGTAGAGCTCTTTCTCTGAAGTAATTACCATCACAGAGGCAGAGCCCAATCACTTGACACATGTTAGAGGCCACCACAGGAGAGACCTCACAACAGTGGAAGACAAGGCTCACAAAGTAAGCAGGAGGAACACAGTCTCGTGAGGCAGATTCCTAGTCTAAAACCAGCGCATCTTACAGGAGAGAAGGGCGGAAAAAGAATTAAAAAAGCACACGAGTAATCAAAATGGTCACTCACTCACAGTCAGTACTAACCACGCTGTGTGCCTGGCTCTATTAAAATTCCTTAGCATCTATCAGAACTACAAAGCTCCTGCAAAGCTAGTGCAGTAGCAACAGAAATCTCCGTAAAGCAGAGCCACTGTAATGAATACAGTTGCAGCCCAACACTGACCTGCATCAGACAATTTTTATGGTAAAACAGCCTGGGCAGAAATCCCCCAAGGGCAACATCAGGCAAGCAGATCCAGAGACATTAAATTCTTTTGCATCTGAGCTGAAAAACAGCCCCATGTACTTACAAGTTCTTTCACCTTGCCTCAAAACCTACTGTCCTGCATGACTTCTGGGCAACTCGAGTACCCCACTTACTCTTCCAGCTTACAGTATCCCTGTCCAAACTCCATTATATCTGCAGACCAAAAGACCAAAACACCTCGCTGCATGTGAGGGCAATGCAATTTATATACAACAGGAAGAGCAGCTCAGTCATAGCCTCAACCCCAAAACGACTCCAGCCAGCAAGAGGCGGGACTGCCAGTTTCATCCCAAAGCTTTGATGCTGCCTTTTACTTCTCTGATGTGTAAGCTTATCTTACTGCTTCCAATAAATACGTTTTAAAATACAAAGAATCCTACCTACCTTTGTTAAAACTAAGTCATGTTGGACGGTTCTCAGTGTTAATAATTTGTGCTACAATATCCCTATGATTTTGGATCTAAGAACTTGGTGTGGTCACACATAGCCAAACAGTACTTTTGTAAGACAAACATCAAAAATAAAGATCATGTACTGATACCACAGTTCTTTTCACCTTGAGATGCCCCAATTCACTTTACAAAAAAACTTACATTCAAATTATAAACTAGGATCATTCTCCCCTCGCTGAACCACACTGGTAGCTGGAATTGCAAAGACAACCCATTTAATTCACATCACAAATATTACATGATATACTCTCAAAAAAATGAAAGGAAAAAAAAAAATCTATCTTCCACTAAAGTGTATTGATAACTTAAATTTCCCCTTATTCAGTTCAGGATGGTATAGACATCTATAACAAAAATTTGTTTTATGTTCTCCCCATCCTACCAAAGTGAAGAGCTGTTGTTTGCTATGTTATTTTTTCTTTATGATTGGAAAATGTTTAAGAAAGAAGGAAAGGGAGATGTTTCCATTTTAACCTGAAAATGCAACAACATTTGCTTTTCAAAGAACTCATCAATTCTTTTTGATATAAACTAAAACATCTTGGCCAGCAAGCTATTATGGTGTAAACTGCTTAAACAGACACAGTCCTGTTGACTGTGAGGTCAAACCTCTTCTTCCTCTCTCTAAACAAGGAAGGTCATAATTAAATTATTGTTTTAGTCAATATATTCCACATTCTCATATGTGCTCAATATCCTACTTCTGGTAGCAGCCAAAAGTTTAACATCAAAAAAAAAAAAAAAAAAAAAGTGTAAGACTGGGGGCAAATATGTAGCGATACTAAACCAACCTGCAGCAATCTTGTCTCAGGTGATGAAGTAAAAATTCAACACCTCAATCACTACCCTGCTTCATCATCTGATAGGTAAGTGCCCACTTTCAGCTCCTCCTGAAAAGTCATCAGCAAAACGAGAGGACAAAGGACTTCATATTTTTTTTATGCTTTTGAAAAGTGAAGCACTGGAAATACTTTAAGCTATTTGTCAGCAAGCACAAGACAAAGCTGATCTTTGAAATTCCTACTCTCACGGAGGACATTACAGTCACTTAATGATCATAACAGATCAGCCCTACAACTTAACACATCATCTGAAAAAGTATGAGCATATTTTTAGCACTGTATTCTCTCACACATACTTGGGTCAGTAGCAAGCTAGGGGAAGCAGCATTTCCTACTGAATTACTGATACTATTTGCTTCAGCACTCACATATTCCCAAGAGAGATCTCATCCAAATCTCAGCTTGTGAAATGTGACAGAATGAGAGTGCGCACTGGCACAAGCTGCATGGAATTACAGGTCTCTAGGGTCACCTTCTACTTGTTCCATATATAATAATATTGAGTGCCTATGTGTGTACTACAACTGCTTCTGCACCTACTTCTGCCCTGTGCCACATACACTGCACTCTGCATTGGCAATGACCAGTGAAACCAGCATATACCTCACTCTCAAAAAACCCTAAGAAAGAATTACTACAATATACATTGAAGAGACTGAAGACAACTAACATAACAGCAAAGTACTTAAAGGAAGAGAACTTATCACATTATTGCTGTCTTGGCAAACTTTCTTAGGTTATATGTCAATATTAATGGTGCTTTTTTAGAATTATTTCTTCTTGCCCACAGAGAAAAGGACAGATTCTGGACATTAACAGTATGTGGACATCAATTTAAAATATATATATACACACATATATTTATGTATATATAAATACATACATATATAACAATGGATCATAGAATTTGCACTTTCATTGTGCAGAGCTCTAAAACTCTTATTGTAGTTTTGTACCTTGCGAGAACAGTTTCTTGCATTTAATGTTACAGGTCTGATAAAGTATTTCAGCTCTGGCAAAATCCTACCTTTGTATTTCTCAATTCATTTTCTTAACTTACAGCAGTTAAGTGGCTCAGTCCCTCATATTTTTCATGGCCTTTCTCTGACCCCCTTCAAACTTACATCCTTCCCTGCCTGCATAGAGAGCAAGAGCAATACATAAAGGGGGGGAAAAAAAAAAAAAAACCCACAAACCACAGGACAGTCATTACCTTGACGCCCCTCATCATTGGTAAAAAGGCCAGCATCACTGCTGCTGCATACACTGCTGGTTTCACTGGAACAAAAAAAAACAAAACAAAACAAAACAAAACCCCACATTGTTACAATTTCAATAGATACACAACAAAAACACTTTCTCACATTTTACTAGCTTCTCTCAACCCAAAAAGCTGTACATATTTCCCCCAAATTGTATACATTGCATTTCAGATACATGGCTGGCTTTAGGGTGATACATAATTGTTTTCTGTTAAACCTCAGCAAAGCAGCATCTTTTGAAAGAGGGTAGAATATTTTATCTAGTCTAGTTCTAAGTTTTAGAAAAGTAATTACCACACTAGCACTTGCCTCGGGTAGTAAACGAACTATGCCGAATACTCACTAGGCAACTGAAGAACGGTTAAAACGTCTGTCCTTGGGTCACTTAATGATAAATTAACCGCAAGAAAGAAAAACCCTCTGAAGTTTTCTACTTCAGATTTCTTTTTCTCAAAAATGTTATGCAGGTATACAACCCTCCTCTGCAGTCCCCAGCACCTTTTCTTTTTTTGGAGGGAAGAGATACTGGCACATGCACAGCTTTTCAGCTAAATACCTTGGCACAGCACAACTTGCTGCTGAATGCAGCCTCCAGTTACAGCACACTTTGCATTTGCTGCAGTGAGAGACTTCGAAAAATACTAGAAATTAATGTGTAGAAAGCTGTTAATTGGCTGTAAAACTCAAAGAATATATGCAGAAGTACAAGCCAAGCATCTGATGGCTTTAATGCTGATATTAAACCAATCTTTAGACAATTCAGATGATGCTTCTTTTGACTTAGCTGAGAGATATCAGAACAAATGGCAACTGCTTACTACCTACACCCATAGCACTGGGGCCTTACAGGATATGAGAACATCAGATATAACTTGGCACCAGAATTACTGTCTGATCAGTCCATGCTGTTAGAGAGCATCTCTGGGTCCGTCTCTCCTGGACTGGAAGTAGGTCATACCAGGCACCACTACCAAATTAGCACATCCCTCCATGCATAGGGCAGGAGGATGGGAAAACTGCAAGGATCATCAATCCAAGGAACTGCAGGCACGTAATAAATACACATTCTAGGAGCTTGTTATTGTTCTTATCAAAATACACCAAAACTTAAGAGGATGAGGAGTCTGCACATCATTTCCACATTTCAGGCTGTACGTTAACATCAAATTTCAAATCAGTCCATTACAAGTCTGGTCATCCAAACATCCTCCCACATACACAAGCAAAGCAATTAAGGCCAAGGACTGAGAATCACGAGTCATTCGTTTCATTCCTAGCTCTCCTACCAACTCACTGTATGACCCTGGGCAAATCTCTTAGCGTGTCTGTTTTCCCTTTTGAAAGCCTGGATTAATAATCCTCACAAGCAGCAGATGCGAGGACTGAGTGACTGCTTCATAAGGGTTTTGGCATCCTCAGAGGAAAGGTGCCTGAGAAAGGAAAAAGCATTAGGTTGAAATTCCAGATCACATCAACAGTATTTTAAGAATCCTGTTGTATACAGAGTTCTTCAGTTCCTTGTAGATAATATATTATTGCCAGTGCCCTGCTGGAACGAACTTTCATGGATCTCACAGCTTTTCTCACCACCTCCTTTACACTTCAGGGTTGAACACAAACTCGACTCCTACACAGGCCTTTTTTGCAGGTCCAGTAAGCACTGATTAATGACCTCCACTTGCAAAGGAGGCTACTTACCTTAACCATGAAATAATGAATGCTATTGATCCGACAAGCTACTGCTATAGAGTGTTATTGATCACCCAATCTTTGGTTAAAATGGTCCTCATTTAGCAATTTCACTGTCGCAAACACCTGGAGCAAAACACGCTTATAATTAAATAGTTTGGGGGAGTTAAAGTGAGAGGTGATGGACAGAGATCTCAGGTTTCCCCCATTTATTCCTTCTCTTGAGCTATTGTTCGTGTCACGAGGGGTATTGATTTTCTATAAAAATAAGAAAACAAGAGGCACCGAGGGGCTGCAGAAGGTCAGGCTGGGCTGGAGAAGGAGGGGAAGCTGAACACTCTGTCTTTGTCACTTGCCTCCAGGAGGGGAAGATTTTTTTCTTTCCTGAGAGAAGGGCCTCCGATACATCAGTTCAGCCAGGCTCCTGACTGCCACCACAGGCAGCCATCAAACCAGCTCCCTTCCAAAGGGTAGAGGATCTAGACTGCACCCTCAGCACAAGCACAAGTTACACTGCCAGGCCAGATTACATCAACATCAGGCCAGGGAAGTTACTGCAGCTTCACTCGGTCAGGACAATGCTCAGTGTGAAAAAGTCAAGAATTATGCAAGTTAAACCCCTACCACTAATAAACACATCATCCAACATGATTTTTTTCCAGGCATGTTGGACTTGGATTATGGTTTTTTTTCCTGCCCTCAAGCTAAATCCAGACTATTCTGAGAGTACCCCACATAGATCAGCAAGATGGAGAAATTCAAGGCTCTATAATTTGTCTTCAAATTGTCCCGTGTCAGGGACACAAGGGCATGTTATTCCTAACAGTCTTCTCAACTAAATGTCATCCATGAGCAATTATTCAGATTGTTGCTTAAATTAAGATCACTTGTTTCAATTGTTTCCACAATTATTTATGTATCACGCTTTGAGTCAGGTCATTACCTCATTCATATCCTCATCACTGTTTCCTCGTGATGTTCTCTCACTTCGTGTTCATTGCTGCCACGTTTGGCAAGCAATTCCAAATGCTCCATTTCACACACACTTTGAATCACAAAACTGCAATGCTTCCTTCTCCAGGAAAGGCCTGGGCAGGCATGGCCCCATAAGGAATCTATCAGAACTACCCCTCTCTAAAGATCAATATCCTAACTTTTTTCCCCCCTCTCTCTCTTTTTTTAAGTGATTAGGATTTTATCCACTTCATACAGCAGGCTTTTGATCAGACATAGGATACGGAGGCTGAATATTTTAGCATTTACAGAGATTCTTGCCTACATAACAAGGACAAACAAATGTCAGGGAAGAGAAGGAAAAAGAATACGAAGATAACAATTCTGAATAACTGTAACTTGGTTTGCCTAAAAACACACCGGTACTTTGATGCTCCCCATCACCAGAGGCATGAACAGCAGTGAAACCTATTCAGTATTGAAGTACTTTGTAAATGTCTAGATCAACCCCAGGCTGCTTGCAAGTCCCACAAGCTTTATAGGTCACCTTCCCTCCCACCAGCTTGTGATGACATTGCTGCCATTCTTCCTGCTAAGCATCAAAATTTTCTTCTCCCTTCCTCAGGATCTGTCCCTGTTGTACATCCGTGCAAAGTGCTTCTCATTTTATCAGGAAAAAGAAAACTACAGCACAGAGAAAGCGAGTCAAGTGTCGCCAGCCTCATCCTGCTGCTAGCTGCAAAGTGCTCTGAGGAACAGGCTGCAAGTGAATGGGGCTGCTGTATGTATTTCTCTCTCCAACTTCAAGCCTCCCTAGTGAGTCATACCACAGATGACACATGAGGTGCTGGAGAGGTCAAATACTCAGATCTTTGAATTTCCAAAGAGAATCGCAAGGATTTGGCAGCTGATGGTAAATGGTATTTGATGCAGACACTTTTACAATAATTAGTTTGTGAGCAAGGGCCAATAGAGACAGAACGAAGTAGTCTCCCAACACAGCCCTCAGGTAAGGGCCCAGCAAATGCTGCATGCTTACTCTTTCCAGGTTTGACACAAGTAAAGGCTGGATCAATGTCTGATGATTTAAGTGCAGGTTTGACATGACAGGACAGAGTATAACTGGTGGATAAAAGAAAAAAAAAAAAAAAAAGAGACAGCTGTATTACTGCCACATACTGCCACATAAAGTAAAGTGGTCCCTCAGTCCATCACCATGATGTGTAGCCTTCAGGAATTACAAAGCACATTTTCTTTCAAGGACTACCAGCATGCAATATTAAGAAAGATAAAAATGCTTTTATTAAATCATGGCAAAAAAAACCCTCCCCAAAACCCAAAATACTATTCTTAAAAATGCCCCACTCAAGCTATGTTTTATCTGAACCATGCTGCCTAGGTAAAAACACAGCAGTGGTGCCCTGGATCAGGACAGTAAGGTCCTATTACATCTGTGCTTTTCACAGTCTCTCAGAAAATAGCTCTGAGAAGTTCACACTTTAAGCTATTATTCACAAAATCCTCAATAACCAAGTACCGCTTGTCCACTCCAACAAACTACAGGAGCTAGACAGCCAGAACACTTAAATGAACCCTAACATATGAACCATTAGACTGGATCAAACAATCGTACTTGTCAAATTCCCTGTCCTTTCTCTTATACTGGCTATCTTAGTGGACACTTGAGGAGAAGAATCTAAGAACAAGACAAATACAGACTGACAATTTCCTCAGTACATTCCTCCAGCTTCTAGCAGCCAGCACTTTAAGGACTTCCTGAGCCAGGTATTTTATTTGGTCTGTAACATTTAATTGACTCTGTTCAGCCTTAAAAAAAAAACCCTTCTTGTTTTAAATTGTTCCTGAATACTTCATTTCTTACAAGATAACCATTCACCTTAACTATTCACAGTACACCCCTACTCACTTTCTGTAAGCCACTCATAAAGAAGCCTCTTCCATTTGTCCCTCAGCAGTTGTTCCTCTCCCAACCTGAGAATTCTCTTCTTACAGAAGTGGCTTTATAGCCTGCCGCAAAGGCTCACACTCATTGGTGAAACTTCCCAAGAGTGACAAAGAAATGAGTTCTGACGATGACACCTGCATTTCGAGTTTCCATCTCTTGTACAAGATTCTGCCACAAATTTATTAAAGCCTGGGCACAAAGACATGCAAGATGTCAATGCGTGTGCAGACCTACACTCACTGTAAAGTATTAATTCAATTTATCCCACCTTCTTTATCCTCGTACTACACCTTCCTATACCTAGGCCTGCAGGAACTTATTCCTCACACAGAGCAGAGATTCAGAACTCCAAACCAAACATTTTGAATGAGGATCATACAGTACTCGCACAGAGGGCTAGGGGGGATCTGACCTGTTCTCTAGCACTATTAATGGTAAATTAGAATTAGAAACTGTTATCACTTGATACCGATCATATAACACAACAGCCAGCAGCAGATTCACTTGCCAAAGCTCAGGCCACAGGCACGTCCCTTTGCAACAGCAAGGCCCACTTTTCAGAGAGCTGCTTGTGCAACAGGAGTCAGAGATAGATCAGCTTGCCAGTTCTTGAAAGAATGTATGTTTTGGGTCAGGTACTACATCCACGGGACAGACTGCTGAAAAAAAATCTACAGTTTAAAAGGAGTTGAGGAATTTCCCCACTTCAAAAAAAGAAGAGGGCTGAATTGTTTTGAGAAGAACTTCCAGAAGTAAGACTCCGGATTGCAAGCAGTGATATGCAAGGCAGCCATCTGACTCAAGTACAGGGAAGAAAGTGAGATCTCACCATTCAGACATGTTTTCATCTGAGCCTTGTTTCTGCTCATCAGCTTCACACTCCATCCGCTCTTTCCTTCCCACTTTGCTGAGGAAGGGCCTGTTCTCTCCCGATTCACAAAGGCTGTGACTGGATGTTGTCCAAGGGGCATTTTCCTTCCAGCGTGAAAGACGCTGTTTCTTGGCCGACTTGAACCTGCAGCCCCTCTCGTAGCTCCACTCGGACACCCGAAGCTTTTGCTGGAGGCTGGCGGCCACCTCGGAGGTGACGCGCTTCACCTTGCGGCGGCGCCGCAGCGGCCGGCACGGCGCGTTCTCTGTGAAGGAGTCCGACTCGTGCCACGAGTGCTGCTTGCTCCGCAGGGCGGCACTCAGCGCTGGGTGCCGTTTGACCACCGCCATGTCATCAGAGTCGCTGAAATTGGCCGCCAGCACCTCCCGGCAATCCTTCATGGCCTCGTCCAGGCTCGACTCGGAGGCCTCGCTGTAGCAGCAGGCGTGCTCGGCCTGGTGCGCGAAGTCCGAGCGCCGCTTACGGCCCCGTCTCTTGCGAAGCTGCCGCCGCTGCTGCCGCGGGCTTAGGGCCATCTCTTCCCAGAGCTCATCCAGCTTGTTTTGCTCTGAAGTCTGCTCTAAGGCCGAGGCCAAGTCATGCACCAACTCATCCATTAGCAGCGTCCACTAAAAAAAAGACAACAAGCAATTAGCATGAAACATAAACGTCGCTACCAACACATCAGTAAGCTCCAGTCTACTACAGCCATTGTAACAATAACTACAGTTCACACTCCCTTTGGAGCTGCCTCGGAGGAGTAATGCAGAACAAGCGCTGTTTCTTGGGCTGCTGCTCACTCCTTCCTTCACTAGTTAAATCCTCCTTCCAACCCAGCAGCAGAGGCACAGTTGCTAGCCCAAGGGGCCAATGGAGCCCAGGGCCCAAATGTTCTGTGCCTGTAACGGCCTCACACTTGCATCTTCTGCTTGGAAACAATGTGCTGTATTAGGCACCTTAAGAGCACAAGAGCCCACTAGTTTGCTGTCCGATCTGGCTGTGTCCCTTATTACGAGCCACAAGCCTTCTCAGCAAGCGAGCTGAAGCCTTCCAAGGGCTGTAGAACTGAGAGTAAGATGGGTTGTAAAGCAGGAAGCCTGGGAGCCAAAAATAAATAAATAAATGAATGTATACAAGAGCCCTATGTTCCTTAGGGGTGTGTTTCAAAAGCGGCAGGACCAGCCCACAAACCCGCCACCCCCTGCAGCCCGCGGCTCTCACTGAGCTGCGTGCCGTACCCCGCCTCCGGGCAGGGTGCGGGGCCGCCTCCCCCGCAGGCGCAGGCCTCTGCGCTCAGCTCCCGCAGCCCGCGCGGCCGCCGCCGCGCCGACCCCGCGCCGCTCCCCGGCGGGAGCCGCCGCTGCTCCCCGGCACGGCCGCTGCCTCCGCAGCCCTCACTGCGGCCCGAGCGCGGCAAGGGGCGGCCGAAACGACGCCGCGAGCGGCTATCGCCCCGCGCCTTGCCTCGCCTCGCCTTGCCTTGCCCAGCCCGCCCCCCGCGGGGCCGCCGCCGCCGCCTTGCCCCGGGCCGAGCCGGACCCGGCAGCCGCACTCACCGAGCAACGGCCTCTCCACCGACCCCTCGCCGCGGCACTTCCGGCTTCACCGCGGCACTTCCGCCGCGCCGCGCCGCCCCGCCCCACGGTGGGCGGGGCCGGGCCGAGCGGGGCGGGGCCGGGGCCGGCGGGGGCGGGGGCGGGAGCCCCGCCGCGCCGCCGCCGCCGCCGCCGCGTGAGGCGCGAGCCCCGCCGTAGCGGGCGCCGCCATGGCGGTGTGGGGTGCTCCCCGTGTCCCTGCCCGTATCCCAGGGCATATCCAGCCTAGCCGTCCTGAAATCATTAAACTCCTCCCGCAAAGGGCCTGGTCAGGGCACCGGGACAGACGGGCTCCCTCCTTCCTTGCAGCTTGGGTGCCCCGCTGGGGGCAGCGGCCCGTGCTCGGGTAGAGGTCAGGGCCTCTGCCTGCCCTGACAAGTGGTCCCGTCTCCCGCATGAGGGGCTGCACCGGGAACCCGCAACCGGCTCTTGGCATTGGGTTGAGTCAGGGGGTGGAAGCACTAGTGGCCTAGGGAGAAGCTCCTAAACCAGGCCAGGGGTGGGCTCATGCCTAATTCTAACTGAATATTCAGTGGGAATGGAAATCAAGGGACTAAGTGTAGCTACATTTTAGTGCGTATCCAAGAAAACTTGTTCTTACAGCAGGCAGATAGGGCAAGACCTAGTGGGAGACCTGCACCTTTCTGGAGCAGCCTCTGGAGGCCAAGGGCTGTGTAAAATGGCAAGCTGCCTTTGGGAGATCCTCTTTCCCAGTTCCTCTTCTTCCTTGAAAGCCAGTGCCAATCCTTGTGCAGCTGGAAGAGCTTCTCCAGCTGCAGGATGAACCAGCTCAGGGAACTGGAAAAGCAGAGAGAAAAGAAAAAAGAATAAAAGAAAGAACATCCCTGTAGAAGCACATTCCTTTTCAGCCAGATCAGTTCCCTGGCCTGTTTCGCTGTGTGGTGGCACATACATGTCACCTCATATACATACATGTCGCATGGCACAGTCATGTTCACCTCCATCAGAGGGGCAGAGCAGAGGGGACAAGGCCAGGTCTGCAGCCAAACAGGCTCCGGTGGCCCGGAGAGCCTCCCCGTGCACCGGCTACCTGCCCCATCCGAGCACGGAGCTGTTCAGCAGCCTGGCAATAGTACCAGCCGAAACAACAGCCGTGGCTTTTCCCAAAGGAAGAGCAAATCCGTATTTTAATACGTCATCTCGGTGACTGCTCTACGTCCTGGCCTGGCCTGTAGAAGTTGTCAGCAGAAATGTGTCCGTGGATGTGAAGTCTTTTCTGCAGCTAGGCAGTTACCGGCCCCTAGCTCCCTGTGCCTGCCCCAGTCTCTAATCTCGAGGCGTTCCTTGATTTAGTGGGTGTACATTATCAGTCACCGCAGGTTGGTTTGTGAAGTTCTTATTTATGGAAATATCAGTGACTAGCTTATCTGACCTCTGGCCTGCTTTCGAATGAAAGTAACGTCTCCACTATTGAAGGGCTGATGTTTCTTATTGATTTTCTGAAGATTTGTGCTTTGGCAGCTCTCGTTGCTGGAGTCCCAGACCATGTCTCTACAGATCATTAGCTGCTAATAGAAGCTGTATGTTCACAGCTCTTGCCATATGCTTACTCTTTTGTAGCTTGATTTTTTTTTTTATTATTATTATTATAAGATGTACGCAACCAGTAAATGAGACACCAGCATTCCTCTGTTTCACTGCTCATGCTTCTACTAACTGTGTATATCAAAACTTAGTTTTGTTATTTCCTAAGGTAGACAGTCCTTTGTATTACTCGCTGTCTTTAAGAATTGTACTTCTTTCATGCTTACTGTTACAGCATATTCCTGTAATCCTTCCCATTTTACAGATCACCGACAATCATCAGAGTAAAGCCAAGCGTGACCCCACAATCCAGTTTGGCTTGGCATTCCCTTTTGTTTCTTGTGTTTCCCTTTTTTTTAATCCATGTGGCAGCATTCATATTCAAACCAATATTAGCTCATTTTTTCAAGTAACGTTTTATGAGGCACTGGATCAAATGCTTTGCTGAAGTCCAGATATATTATGTTCATGGCATTCTCTTCACTAATTTTCTAAATTCAATCAGAGAAAGTAATCAGGTTTGTCTGACATGATTTGTTCTTTATAAATCCGCAGTGCTGCTTATTACTCATAGGTCTTTTATCCTTTGCATATTTACGTTTTTCCTCACCTCTGTTTTATTACTTCACCGGGAACAGAAGTTATTTAGAAAGGGTGATAATTGCCAAGATCCATACTTCCTCCCTGCTTCTGCCACTTAAAGACTGGTGCTGCACTTGATTTTTCTTAGTCCTCTGGCACCCTCCCTAGTTTGTCAAGATATTTCAAAAATAGCCATAGGAAAGTCCTTGAATTTGTAGTTTATTCCTATATCCCTATAGGACACTCATTGTTTAGCTTTACTGAGTTCTCTTTATGCAATTTCTCTAAATAGTCCTATATTTTGTTTTGAGCTGTCATTTTAATGTTTTCATTACTTTCTAATTCTCTAAGAAACTTACTTGGAAAAATAATATTTAAGAAGAAAATCAGCGATTAGGTGGATCGTTTTTATCTCCTCCTCAACTGCTGACTTCAGTTAAGTTACTTTAACTGCACTGATGCATCTGTAAATTTCCTTCCTTTTGTCTTTTTTTAACCCTTTCTATGGCAGTAGTTCACTGCTTGATTATAGTATTTTGTTTTTCCCCTAGCAGTTTCTCATTTCCAAAATAGGGGAGCTCTTTTTACTTTGGGATCTGAAGGGAGCCAATCCCTTCAAAAATCTAATCTTATTTTACTGCTGCAATCCCTTTTTTTTTTTCCTTTTTTTCTTTTTTTCTTCCATGCTTCAGGATATAAAACAGCTACAAAATGTCTGATTAGAGAAAAACTTTCCTGACAGGAAGGTTATTCTGTAAATATCTACTTCAGAGCCTCTTATACCTTCATAACAACCACTTCATACTGCCTACAGTTCTAGGCAGGATAAAAAATTGGGTAAACAGTTGTGTAAAAGAATTTCTGCGTTCAAATGTCCTCAGGAGACAGCAACAGATACCCACTCTAATTTCTTTTGTTCTCTATTATTTTGTTCTTCTAAATAATTCACCACTATTCTGTTGGTGAACAAGGTATTTTGCAACTGGTATGAATTTTACTTCAACTGGCATTTTTTGCCACGATCACTATTTCAGAGCGAATTTCAACAGATGTCAGCAGCATCTTGCCTGAGTAAGGACAGCAGGTTGGGACAACAGGTTGATGTGGGGACAGAGGAAAAGTGGCAGCAGAAGCTGCCTTGACAATCTGGACACAAGAACAGAAAAGGTGTGGAAGCGGAGCATTTATGAGTACAGGGAAAAATCAAGAAGCTGGGAGTAGGAGTTGGAGAAATACAACAGAGGCGGTAGCAAGTCATCTGTTTTTTGGGCAGCTCACGTTATTTCTGGCCTGTTTTACAAGGTCGCTTCTGAAGTGTGCGTGTAACTATAAGTTTTCAATCTTTGGCTGTGTTCAACTGCATTTAATCTCTTCGTGCAGCTGTTGCCCAGCCTGGACAGCAAGAGCTGACCTGTCCTCATAGCACTAGTTTTGCTTGTGAAGTGCTCTGGGTCTACCAGATGTTCAGCACTCTTCCCTGACTGGATTCTTACCCTTTCCTGGCCTTTGTACATACCTTTCTGGGGTTTGTTTTTGTTTTCCTGCCAGAAGTAGCATTGCTGATGTTGCCAGCGCCTACACCCTTTAGTCCAACTGTTGCTGGATCTGGACAGGGAGGAGGCAAGGCGACTTGTGAGGGACATTTCCAGGGTGAGGAGCAGGGAAGGAAGTACCACGGGATCCTGCCAGCCCAGTCCTTGCTGTCTCTTTGCCCAGCTCTCACTCCAGCGAGCATAGAGAAAGGTACAGTCTGATAGGAAAAGTGAAGGGGTTGTTGCCCGACCCAAGCAAATGCTCTGCATGGTCCCATGATGCTTCTCAGTAAAACCTTCCAGGGGTTAAAAGGAAAAAGAGAGACAGAAAGGGGACAAGAGACAAAGGGAGGAATAAAGTCA